CCGGGGTGTGGGTCGCGGACCTGGAGGAAGGCCTTGGCTGACCCCAGGGGGCCTCCAGAGCCGTTGATTTCGGGGTCCCGTGCCTTCGCTCTGCACACTTAATTTTACAAGATTTTCCCTAGGTGGTGGGTGCATCTGCTCTTTTTTCTTTAAACAAAGAACCTACTTGTTGCTTTCTTTCTGGTTATTGAAGTGGCACGTGCCAGCCTTCTCGATTCAGAGAAAACCTGAAGGTATAAATAGGAAAGTGAGAGCCACCGGAAATCCCCGCCCCCGCCCGGCACCTGGCGGCTTGTGGGCGTCGCAAATGACTGTTTCTGGAGACGTATCTATCTCTGTTAGCTTCCTGTTGAATACATTTTCTGATATCATTTTCCTACAAAAGTTATTAATTTAACAAGACACCAAGGGTTTTTTGAGCCCCCGCGGCAAGGGAGGCATGACCTCAGCGGCCGCTCACAGCAGCGGAGGCCGCGGGTGGGACTTGCCCAGGATGCACCCTGACTCCTACCCGCCCCTCCCCCCATGGTCTTACACCCCCTTTTTCAGATGAGAACAGACACTGAGGCTCAGAGAAGCAAGGCTCTACCTCATCCTGCCTCTGAACCTGCCTTTGCCCGCGGAGCGGTGTGACCACGGGCAGGTACTGACCACTCTGGCCTCAGTTTCTCCCCATCGCACGCAGATAAGAGAAGCCCCTGCAGCCACAGTGGGGGGTGAGGACCGATGCCACGAGGGGCGAAGGCCAGGCGGTGCCCGTGCTCTGGTGATTAACTGGCCTGAGGCACCTGACAGCAGCAGGACCTGCCAGGCTCCCTCAATACCCCACCCTTTCCCACCAAATCTGTGGGCAGCTGGCCGGGGAGAGAGGCGGGCTCGGCGGGCTTGGCTGGAGGCCAGATCCTGGGCCCCTGCTGCCCTCTAGTGGCCCACGCTGGCCCCAGTGGTTCCAGTAGCTCCAGGTCCAGTCCCAGGCCGGTGCCAAGCCCAGAAAACTAGTCCTGGGAGATCCCCCGCCCCCTCCAGCACCTGGTGAAAGGGCTTAGCTGACATACACTGGGAACTCCCTGTGCTCCAAGGACCGGCTGTGTGAGGGGGGGAGGCCGTCATGGAACCTCTCTGTGCTTGCTTCCTCATCTGTAAAACAGGAATAATAATAGTGCCGACATGGTTAGAATTAAACATGTTAATACACGTAAGGCTCGCGATAGCGCCTGCCCAAGTGTTCGCTGGCCTTCTTCTCATTCTACTGAGTTGGTCTGTGGGTGTTGTGGAGCCGAGGGCATAAAACATAAAGGAAGTGACATTCTACAGTTCACGTTACTTTATTGCAGAAAGGACAGGCTGGAGCGATGGAAACCCCAGACAAGTGGTCCCGAGGCATCATCCCACCAACCCGTGTTTGCGCCTGTCCACGTGACTCCCAGACCTCATCCATGTGCAGAGCCAGTGACTGTGCGTGCATAGAGGTTCTGTCCTGCATTTCTCACCACGTGGCCACATGCATTATATACACGCCCCCGCCCTGTTTTCCTCTCGCCCCTCAGGTTCTACCATACGCCACCTGGAGGATCTTGCCCAGACTCTGCTGTCCTCCTTACAGACAGGTGGCCGAGCTTCCCACAGGTCTTTCCAGAGGAGAACGAGACAAGAGAGGTCCAGAGAGAGAGACTGAAGCCAGACTTCTGATCCTGGCTGCAGGCTGATACCCGACTCCAGCCACAGAATGGCCTCTGACTCAAGCCATAGACTGATTCGTGACCCACACTGTGGACTTATTTGTGATCGTGGCTGTAGATTGGCCCAGGCACAGGCTGACCCCTAGCCCTGGCCACAGACTAATCTTTGACCCCAGTTGTAGGCCGATCTCTGAGTCTGGCCACCGGCGCCCTCACTGACACCCCACCCCATCCAGGAACTGGCATTTCCTGATTTGCAGCTGGTAAACTCAGCTTGAGTTGGTCAGCATATCTGGTCTGTCTGTCCTGCCTCTCTACCATGGGACCACAGGGCAAGCGGGCAGTTCTCTTTTTTAAGCAAAGAGAGCAGCATTAGAAGGCCCCTCTGCAAACTTCCTTCTGCCCTGGATGGGAGGTCTGGTGCTCTGGCAGCCGTCTTGTGACCACGAGGGGAAGCGTGTGGGGATGAGAGACAGCGCTCTGGACCTGGCACAGGGGGAGCAGAAAAGAGCCTGCGTCCCTGATCGCTTCATCACGCGATCAAACCAACCTTGGGATTCTTAAATAAACCATGAACCTGCTTTTTTGTTTTGTTTTGTCGAAACTACTGTGGTGGTGCTCTTGCAGCCATAAAGCAACCTTAAAGATCGTGGCCGGTGGAGTAACGGGCCTCCAAAGATAAACCGGTCCCAATCCCCGGAAGCTGTGAACACATGGAATCAAGCTTGCTAATCGGCTGACCTGGAGAGGTTATCTGGACGGGCCCCATGCAATCACGAGGGCGCTTATAAGAAAGAGGGAGGCAGGAGAGTTTGCGTCCGAGAGAGACTGCAAATGCTATGCTGCTGCCTGGGAAGACGGGAGACAAGCACGAGCCATGGAGTCTCCGGAAGGAATGCGGTCCTGCGGACACCTTGGTTTTTAGCTTAGTGAGACCAAGTTCTGACCTCTTACCCCTGGAGTTGTAAGATAATACATTTTCATGTTTCAAGCCACTGAATTCACAGCAATCTGTTACAGCAGCAAGGGGAAGCATTCCTCCGTGCATCTGACTTTGGATTCTAGACACTCCAGCCTGCTTTTCCTCCAGCCTTGTCCCTCCAGCCTCTCCCGCTCCCTCACCATTGGCCCTCAGTCGCCACTTCCAGAGGATTCTGTCGAATGTCCGCCAGTCCTACCTCCTCGGCATCCACCGTCCCTTAGCATGAACATGGGGCTCGCGGCTTCATGGGCGGCCCCAGTGCAGCAGCGCAGTGGCGGGTGGACGCTGAAGCTCCCAGGCCCCTGACTTGAAATTCTTAATGATCTTACCTGTGCATCTGTGTTTGTAAGGAAAGTCCAATTGACATGGAGCACGCAGCAAGGATTCGCAGTCTCGGCTCCCACGTGGCCCCACCTCCACCACCCGCCTGCTTCCCTGGGCAGGTTCCTGGCCACCTGCTCTTCCACCCCTTGGCTCTCTGGACACCAGTCAACCTCCCCCTGCCCACCCCGTCCAGCAGCCACACTGCCTTCGCCCAGGAGGGGGTCCAGGCTCAGGCACAGGGACACGTGGCCCCACCTCCACCACCCGCCTGCTTCCCTGGACAGGTTCCTGGCCACCTGCTCTTCCACCCCTTGGCACTCTGGACACCAGTCAACCTCCCCCTGCCCACCCCTGTCCAGCAGCCACACTGCCTTCACCCGGGAGGGGGTCCAGGCTCAGGCACAGGGGGGGTCGACGGCACTGCTCACCTCCCGAGCTGCCGCAGGGTGCCTGCTGGGTGGCTAGAGGCCACAATTCAGCCAAGTCAGCAAGTCAAACCTGCTGCCCACTCCCTATATGGCAACAGAGTCACCATCTTGGATTCTTAGTACCTTCTGAACAAAAAGGCCTGCATTTTCATTTTGCACCGAGCCCCTCAAACTAATAGCCATTCCTGCCATAGGGTCTCCACAAAGTTGACCTGCCACTCCCTCTGGACCCCAAGCACCATCACCCCTGTGTTTCGGCTTCGTCCTTCCGCAGGCTTCTTCCCATCACTGCGGTCATCTGTCAAGTCCTTCCATCTGCAAACAACCAAAGGTTCCCTCCCCCACACTTCCTTCTTCTCCCTCTCCCTCCCGCTCCCTCTCTCTCTGCCCAGACAGTTCTCGAAAGCTGTCTCCCTGTCCCCGCTTCCTCCCTGCACACCCACTCCTCAGCCCTCTGTGCAGAAGCTGCCGTCACTTCTGCCATGAAATTGCTGTCACTGCTGCCACCGCCAGTGCAGGCAGGTCCGCTTCAGTCCTATCTTCCCGCAGCATGACCTCCCCCTCGTCCATGAACCTCTGCCCCTCGTGTTGCTGCTGCTGCTGGCTGCTTGCTCCTGCTCAGGCTCACCTCCCAGGGTCTCTCCTCGGCCTTCCCTAAACATCGGGGGCCTCAGAGCTCATCTTGGGCCTCACACATGCACACACACGCACACATACACACACACACGGCTGCTTGCTCCTGCTCAGGCTCACCTCCCAGGGTCTCTCCTCGGCCTTCCCTTAAACATCAGGGGCCTCAGGGCTCATCTTGGGCCTCACACAAGCACACACACACATGCACACACACATGCACACAC